GTTCCTTCGTTGTGTGCTTGAAGTGCGATACCTTGTAAATCCGGCACTCTGTACAATACGTCCAGTGCTACGACGAATAGCAACGGTGCCAATGGACAGCCTTGTCGTATCCCGCTGCTTAGCGTTAGCTTGAAGAAGCTGTATCCGCTGACCAAGAAGAAGCCCGTGGTTCCATGGAATGCTTTCTATCATCACGCAGAAGCGCTGAGAGAACCCGTACCGACGAAGAGTGGTGATGATGTAATCACTGTTCAGGAAGTCGTAGGCTTTGGCGAAGTCGAGTAGTAGGGAGATCGATCCGCTGGACATCTCCGTGCAGATTTCATGTTTCCGTAGCGCTGTGAACATGCCCACTGCAGTGCTGAGCTGGCGTCCCGGTACAAAGCCGAATTTTCTCTGTGAATGAGTTTCGGCAGAAAGTGCTGAAGTCTCGTTGCGAAAATCCTGTGTAGATCTTGTAATCTAAGTTCAGCAAGGCAATTGGCCGATGGTCCAATGGGGTCAGTCGCTGTTTTCGATTTCTTGATGCACTGAATATTCGCCTCGCCGAAGGAGTCTGGGACAACACCAGCCTGTAACCAGTCGTTGAACAGCTTCACAAGAATTGAAGCAATGCGGTCGCAGTGGTCTCGATACCACGTGTTACCTAGACCATCCGGGCCGTAGGACTTTCCGCGTATGCACCGTTTGATAGCCGCTCGAACTTCGTCCAAGGAAACTTGGGCGTCAAGCTCTTCCAGATCAGCGATCCTTCTCGGTGGTCGGATGCTGGCGATATGATCGTCAACCAGTCGGGACTCTGCATGCTGTTGTTGCATGATGAAAGACAATCCGAATGCCATAGCATTCGCTAGCTCCGTCGGGGGAGCATCTGTCTTGCATTGTCAAGGTTATATACCACATTGTCGCCATACTTGGTTGCAATGCGCTTGTAGAAGTCCGCTGTCGGTTTTTGGGGAAAAGTGCGTGCTTTTGTCTCAAACGTCGTGCTTTTGTCTCAAACGTCGTGCTTTTGATTCTTTCCATTTGTCTTGACAGCCACTGATTTCTTCGCGTAGGCAGCCTGCTTGCGTACCACCTGAGTCTTGGCACTCAGCGTTGTTGGAGGGCAACCGCGTTGCTGTGTCAAGGCTAGAGTAAGGACGTCGCAGTCGCTGTCGATATCCGGCCCGCATTTTTGCTGCGCATGTGCGCTTGCAAATTTTGTACCCTCTGATTAATGCTCGTTTCGCACGATCCCACCAGTGAGCCATCCTTTTTGCGCGTGAAGATTGACCGTGTATAAGCTGAACCTGGTCTGAGCCTCTGTATCATCGAAAGACTCTGCTTCCATGAATTGGGCACACTCCAGCGCGTAATCGGGAACCGGGTAGCACGTCGGTCGCTTTTTCACTTGGATTGTCCGACTTCGTGGGGCTAACTTCGGTGAGACTCCATCGTGATTCGAACTTGGACTTGAAATCACACTGGATACCTGTCGAATCCAGCTGTCGTGTCCGCCGGAGACGTACCATCTATCTATTCTGCTACTAGCATTCTCACCCCTGGTAACGTGTACTTATGAGTGTGATGTGCCACTTGGAAGGCTTCCACTTCTCTTGGATCGTTCGCGTCAAGCACTTCGCGCTCCAGCGCATCCGCTAGGCTCCATTTTTGTAGTAGAGCCATCAGTGCTGGTGAGAACTGATCATTCGCCGTCGGTTGATATGACCGGTCTGTACGCGGGCTCACCGTACAGTTGAAATCTCCACCTATGAGAACAGGTCCATCATGTTCGAGTTTCAGCTCACCGAGCGCGGTGAAGAGAGCCTCGCGCTGATCTCGATCCGTCGGTGCGTACACGTTGAAGAGCAAGGCCGATTCCCCTCTGATGTCCATCGTCATCGCCATCCAGTGGGATGTCCATTCCGCTTCCCAGTAGAGCTTAATGTTCGAGATTTCCGCATGCGGGTTAACAAGAATCGCCACCCCACCTTGCGACCGTCGCTTGGACTGCACCATGAGCAGATCCCTTTGGCTTGAGTTGGTTCGTCCCCCAACTTTGACTATGTATCCTCGTGAACGTCGGACAGTTCAGCAGGATCTACGAACGAGGCGACCAAGCTTGAAGCCGACCTAGACAACATGAAGTGGACAACAATTCTCGCTGTTCCTGGGATAACCTTGTATAACGGATACAATGACGACGAACACGATACGGTGATTGATTGCGAATGCAAGGGCAGTCGCTGATGGGCTAAAGTTAAATCAGGATCTAGTGAAGTGAACTTAGTATATAAAATGAGTGGCTTAGAGGTAGCATGCGGTTTTGCGATCTGAGGACCTCAAATATATTCACATTGCATTACAGTCCTCTCCAAAACTAATATGCACTCCGTGGTATTACAATGTTAAGTTGTCGAAATTATTGTATCTATCATGTTCAAAATATCCTTTTTGCTTTGAGTGCATTTCCAATCGAGAATCAGGAATATTTTTGTGGGAAACACGACTGAAAAACTCGATATTTTATATATACTAATCCACATTACAACCTCTCACAAAAACTAGATCATGAAAACTGGACATTGAGCTGCGACGGCACAATGAAGAGGTCTGTCATCTCTTTCGCAGTGATAGATGCAAATCGTATGTACTGGTATGTATATTGTGGAGTGTCAAGTCGCTGTAACCTTATTCACGTAAATCATTATAGCGTAATTGATATTCATAAAATACCAATGTACCACGGAACGCATTTTACTTAGTAGCTGACGTATAAGCCGACGTACGTGTAAATAATTGGGATTAGTATTACTTAGAAATACATGCCAATACAGAACGTACTAGGATATGAAAGGGTATCGAAGTATGGCTTTGAAATTGCTCAAATAGACCAAAATATGATATTACAATTCTCATAAATATTAAACTATGATACTATGATATGGTTAATAACAAGGTACACGATCACGTCTTGATAGCGAGGCTTCATCTTTATGGCATATACAAAAAACAAGGCTGATCAATGTGTTCGTGTGAGTGAAGACTCCCATCTCGTTGTTTTAATTTCTAACCTAATATGATAGTGTCCTTTATGATACATCATAACCTACACTAAAATTCAATTATGCTCGTCATCTCCCTGTACACTTGAGCTTCGCCTATCTCATAAAGTCATGAGCACGTCAGCCATACTCGAAACTTTGCTGTTTGTCTTTTTTACATTTGGCTATCTCAAAAAAATCGGATCAATGTGTGACGCAATCATCGTGTATAATAACGCGCCAACGTGATTGTCGAGAAAAAGAGTGGTTGAAAGCTAGGATTACTGCCTTACTACAATCTTGCATCAAAAAGTTTCCATGCTTTTTCCCAATTCAACTGTTACCTATATATATTTAAGTCTGGGCCCACTGTGCATGCGATATGAAGTTTTGAAGAGGTCTATGTCGATATCACAAGCTTTATAATACTTCCTCTGTCCGAAAATATAAGCTGGTGTCTATTACTGCGCGTGTCCGAAAAT